GATTGCAATTGTATATGCACGTGACAAAATTAATTGAAACCCAATTAATGACGAAATAATTGCAATTAATTGCAATTTTCTTTAACGTTAACTATACCCTGTAGAGCACTGCATACAGTAAGTACCCCGATGTAATACAATTTTTTAAATAGTGATTAACATAATCGTATTTAATCATTAATCAATCAGGTTGCCGTAGATTTGTCACAATACGTAACAATAATTGCAATTAATTGACTAATTGTGGCTGCGCTAACAATTAATTAATTGTAGCCAAATAATTGCAATTAATTTCTACTACAATAAATCATTCGGTACGCCTGGTTTTAACAACCCTACATGGTACACAAGTTTTCAAATCCAGCGTTATTAAATTTTGGCTACGTAGTACTATTCATAATTCTGGCCGCAAGATTGTGTAATGTTACATTACAGAAATTTTTGTAAAATTATCGACTATATAAATCAAAAAATTTTCCGTGTGAGTCATGATTTTCAAATTTGGAAGGCTTGTGTAACAATGAATATCCACCATGCTACAGTTTATCAAAAAAAGATCAAATCAGCAGATATAATAAATCTTGCTATTTTCTTTAAAACAGAATAGATTTTAATTTTTTTCTTTTATTTAATAAAGTTTTTATTCATTTTTTTTTATTTAATATTAGTTTCTTTTAGTTTTTTAAAATTATTTTTTAAAACAAATTTTTTCTTTTTATAAGTTAGTTTATAATATTTAACTTTTTTTCTTGTTATTATTTTTATAAATTAGTTTGTAATATTTAACATTTTTCTTATATCTAATATTTTCTATCTTTTATCTTTATTCTTTTAATCATCTTATATTATATTTTATCTTTTTTTTAAATTTTTTTTTAAATTTTTTTAAATTTTTCTTTTATAAATTTCTTTATAAATAAATTGATTAAATTATAAACAAAATCAAATATTACTATTATATAAATTAATATTATTGTCTTATTATAAATTATTATTCTTTATAAACTTTATAAACTTATTTTTAACTCTTGAATCTGTTAAGTAGATTTAGCTAGTAATAACAATTTTTTTTAAATCTATAAATTTGTTAAATCTAGTTACTATATTACAATAAATAACTTATATTTTTTTTTATAAAATAAAAATAAATATTACAATTATATAATTCTTATTTTCAAATATTATTAAAAAAAATTTTTTTAAATATTTTAATTTTATAAAAATATAAATCACAGATATTGTTACATGAATTTTCCAAACAAATTTGTTTGAAAATAGTTTACAAATTAAAAGATAATATACTAACTAATTTTGTTTAATTTTTTAATAAAAATAAATTTATAGTTTAAAAAATATATAGTTATTTTAAAAAGGTTGAATATATATAATATAATATATTACAAATAATTCGCTAAACTTAAAATATATTATAAGCAAAAATTTTTTCTATATTATAAAAAATATTTTTTTTTAAAATTTAGAATTAAACCTTAAAAGCTTAAGTTAAATATTAAAAATTTTTTTTATAAATCTAGTATTAAGCTAGAGCTTGAGTTAAATATTAAATTTTTTTTAATAAAACGTAGGAAAGCCATTTTTTTTAAATTGTCTACGAAAATATCGACAAAAATTTAGCCAAAAATAACACTTGTAATAAATGCGTCGCAGATCACAAATAATTGATTAATTTCGCATGTGTAACATAGAGATAATGAACGAAATTAACATTTGTTATAAGTCATGTGAAATGCAGTTAGAGAACTGTCAAACTTTCCACGATCGGGATAAATAATAAAGTAAAATGTGATTGGTAAAATTTTTTATAAATCATCTTTAATAATTTTTAGTTGAATGCGATTAAAGTTAAATTCGATTGATCAAAATTTAATACAAAATCCAAGGAAATCATAACAGGTAATAGTTAATAAAATGTAACACGTATTTTATATTATACATATACGTGCATTTATTTGAACCGTTAAAAACTTTGGTATACGCGTTTCTTCGAGATTTAAAAGAGTTAATAATACGTACTATTATTGATCACAAAAAACAGGCGATTTTGATCGATCGACGTAGCAAATAAAAGGTTAGACACTTGTATAATTGTAACGAAAAAACCTAACACTAAATGTAAAGCCTCAAATATTTATTACCTTCAGCCAATTTAAATACTATGTCCACGTGTCAAAGTATAAAAAACGGTTAAAATGTATTTATAGTGCATAATCGAGCGTTAACTTAAATAATAAAACGTTGGTTTATCATATTAAAGATTCGGAGAATAAAAAAATCACTCCATATCGATATTTTTTATTCTTAATAATTTTTCGTGAGAATATTGTACAAGTTTAGATGCCACGTTTTTTGATAATGAAACAATAAGTATCGGCAAGAACTGATAAAATTTATGATAATCTGGGCTCAATCTGGAATTAACTCTCCTGAAAGTTTTGTCAATATTTGTGCAGATTCTTTGGTGTGACGAACAGCGGACTTTGAAAAGCTTGAAACTCCTTGGTTCAAGCAAGTGTCAACAGATAGAATTTTTAGATGTTGTGGCTTATTTCTTAATATTAATACGTCATCATATATCGAGCAATTCCGCCCAAAAAAACGAAAAATTAATTAATAAAAAAAAAAAAAAAAAAAAAAGACGCACGCAAGTAGCATTTTATAAAAATAGCATTGTAATATCTAATTACTATTTCCTGACTATCATTACTATTTTATATTTAGTTTCTATAATAAGCAGCGTTCTTCGTATCTCTTATAAATTAGTTTGCGCCGCTCCGTGTGCAAAACATCGAAAAAAACTTTCGGCGGCATGGAGCGGGATACTTACGCTTTATATAATACACTGGGTGTACAAAAAACTGCTACTGAAGAAGAAATTAAAAAAGCATATAGACGCCTAGCACTAAGATTCCACCCTGATAAAAATCCAAATGCTACCGATCAGGTTCGTACTTCTTTTAATATTTCTCTTGTCATTAGAAAGGAAGAATTGATGATCTTACGGACACCTTGGTACCCAATAAATGTGTTCAAAATATTTTTATTATACTTCAAATTTAACCCCGTAAAAAATTATTTTGTAATTTAATGCTTCTATAAATATATCTTTCATAAAAAGTTCAAGGCGATTACTCATGCTTATGAAATCCTAAGCGATCCAAAAAAACGTCAAGTGTATGATAAATATGGAGAGATGGGAATCAGTATGCTAGATTCTGTGGCTGGCTTCCTATTAGATCCAGAAATTCAAGGACCATTATGCATGCTATTCACCACAATTTCACTTTTGATAATCCTCATAATTCTGTTTTTCATCTTCTTGTCAATACGAGTAGATGGTTCTGTGTCGTGGAGTTACGGTGTTGTATTCATACCAATATGGATTGAAGATATTATTTTGTTTTTTGTACTTATTGCTTATGCAAATGCAAGAAAGGATCCTTCTGAAGAAGGTGATATTGATGATGAATATGAAGATTTATATTCTCAAGACCCTGGTGTTAGAGAACAAGCTAGGGAAGCAAGACGAAAACAACAAAAGACTCTCTCCAGAACGCGTAATTTTTTACATAATGCTTATTTGATAATGATCTTATTGTTTCAAGTTTTTATCGTTCTTAGAGCAGATAAATTAATAAGTTGGAGAGCCGTTATCATATTTGTTCCATATTTTATTGTCGAGGCTATCAATTTATTTCCGAATTTTGTAGAATACAGGGACTTATTAAGATCTGCTAGAGTGCTAGATGTCAATGGCAACCCTTCCATTTATCTTAAGATTAAGTGTTTCTTTGATACTTTTTGGTGGTTTGCTATCCGAGTAGCACTTTCCATCTTGATTGTGCTCAGAATTGATGAAGTTATCATTTGGAGTTGGGGCATCGTTTTCATTCCGTTATATTTAATTGCTGTTAGATATGGTCTTCGGCTTTTATGGCAATGGTGGAGTTTAAGGCGAGCTGAACCTTTGCAGAATAAAGGAAAAGTAGATGTTATAGTTGGTGCGGTTACATTCTTTGTGGTGGGTTCCCTATTTTATACTGTTGTAGGTTTGTTAGCTAGTAGGTTAGATGGTAATACGGGAATAAAATTATCTTCAATCTTAATTCCTGTATTTATCACAATGTCTCTCATCTTATGTTGTACGGGATGCTGTTTACCTTGCATTCTCTTAGCATGGAATGGTGATGATCTTGAAAATGGTTCTGATTCTGCATTTAAAACTATTGATAAACGGATTACTTATCCTACAGCGGCTGGTCCAAGTACTGCATTTGCTAGTGGTAGCAATTAATCTGTATAATATTCAAAATATTCAAAATATTCAAAATGTTTCAAAATGTTTCAAATGTTAAAATTTATAAGATATAAGATATAATACGATGCCGATACTACTTCTGCGATCTTTGGCTGTATAGTAGAGTTTAGATTATTTCTTTTCTCGGCACCTTTCAAAAAAAAAAAAAAAAAAACAAAAAAAAAACAAAATGTTAATTTTTCTTCATGATGTATATTAATAATTACACTTAAATTTACTCAAATTAAGCAAATTTAAAATTTACAGTACATAGACAATATTGAAAATTTAGAGATTCTTCTTCGAATTGTTAATATTCGTGAATTTTTTGGTGGATATTTAAATAATTTTTTTTATCTTTATTCTTTTTAGTAAGTTTCACAATCATTAAACATGAAGAATTTTATAACGAAGAGTTTCATCATAATGTTTTTTGTAATAACGCGTGGTATTATTTATTTATTTTGTATAGACTTTTTAGATACATTCATAATTGAAAATAATTCATTTAACAACTTTTAATCGTGAATTCCTCCAATTTTTGTATATTGAAAATTCGTTTAGATAATACAAATTCAAAACTTTCATCAATCCTTTTTTTTTTTTTGTCCATGTGTGAAAAGTATAAAAAAGAAATTCATTTAAATTTTCTTTAAAAAAGTTCCTTTATCAAATATTTATGGCATGTCGATATTATTAATTTAATAATAATTAATTACCGTTCAGAGCTTATCCTAAAAAGTCGAAAATTGACCACGAGATAGTCACGAGACTATAACAATGATGAATTCTAAATTTAGTTTTATTTAATTGATTGGTTGAATATCGACTTCTGTTCATAAATTTTATTGGTTCAAAGTAATGTGTCAAGATCGAAACAAATCATTCTTAAAATTTCGTAATGAATCAACTCTTCTTAACAAACTGATTGTTATTGAGAAAAAAAAAAAAAATTGTCTACAAGTTCTTTGTGGTAAACATATTGTAAAGTACCATCAAAAGTTTCTCTTAATAATAATAATATAAATTTAGCCCCGGTGATACGACCTAGATCACCTCTTTTGCAAGCTCTGGCTGCAAAGTGATTTACGTTATTTAAAGATCGTCAGTTTTTGATCGGATTTTATAGTTTTTTATAACGTCGGTAACGCGCGCGACTACTTAATATAACGTCATAACGTTTCGTATGGCCACGGAAGTTAAACAACGCCGTGTGAAGGTGTACCAGTTGAGTAGGGAAAGCGAATGGTTGGACAAAGGTACCGGCTTTTGTACCTGTTTTGTTAATGAGGTAGGATCGCTTCCACTATTCATGTTTTATGCAGAAATAGCTTTTAGATGCTGTTTATAGTTTTTTTTGGCCAAATATGGACCTAAAAATTGTCTATATTCAGCTATTGACTTAATATTTCACTAGTCACCGCTTTAATCATGAATTCAATTATCGGATTATCATTACAATAACTTCAACTTATATCATTTTATTGGTTCCAATATTTTCATTGAATTATAGGCAAAAGATGATGCTTGTATCATCGTCCGTTCTGAAGAAGATACTGCTGTTTTATTATTAAAATCTCGTATAATGAAAGATCATGATTACCAAAAACAACAAGGTACTCTAGTATAGATTTAGTAGTTAAATATTTATTCTTCTCTGAAGTTAACTAAATTTTATTCAATTCTTTAACAGATACGTTAGTAGTTTGGACTGAACCTAATGGGTTAGATTTGGCTTTGAGTTTTCAGGAGGCTGAGGGTTGCACAGAAATATGGTGCGTTACAAATATGGTTTTGGTTTAAAGAAAAATATTATTCTGTAATATTGGTATATATTTGTTAATTAATCACTGTGAATATATAGGGAATTTATATCGGACATAAAAGTTCGTATGGGTCATTCAAATTCTAGTGGTAAGTTATTACTAGACATTAAATTATTCTATAGATAGTTTTTATTATAATTTATTTTATTATTATTTTTTTTTACGAAATGACATCATCATTAATTCATCTTTGACTAGATGTGCGATCCAGCCCTCCACCAGACCCCGAAATACCGAATATGTCGATAAAATTACCAGAGCCTACCTTGTCTAATTTAGAAGAGATTGAATTAATAGTTAAAGCTGCAAGCCGGACCATTTATGAACGAGACAAGCTAGCGGCATTTGTTACTCAGGTACTTATGCGCATAATGTATATAGTTCTTATGTTAATTTAGTCATATTATTATGATATAGATTTTTACATAATTATAACATAATAATTTTATGATTTGATTTTTTTTTTTTTTCTTATTAGGGCTACATTGCTAAATTATTACCTTTGCTTTCGACATGTGAGGATCTTGAGGATTTAAAAGATTTGCATAGATTATGTAATATAATGAAAGGAATTAGTATGTATTTTGTTATTTGATTGTTATTTGACTGTAAAATCATGAATTTGACTCAATTCTGACAATATCTACCTTTCATAGTAATGCTACAAGATAGCGAAATTTATGAATATATTTTACGTGACGATGTTATTATGCAAGTTGTTGGAATGCTTGAATGTAAGCTTGATATAACTGTGAAAATTTAGTGTTGTAATTTAAAGACATTTTTGAATTTAAATAATTTTCAAAATTTAAATCTTTATAGATGATCCTGAATTCCCTACCTATAAAGCAAACCATCGCCAATATCTAGCAGATAATTCAAAATTTAAAGAAGTAAGATGAATTATTTTTTAATTACAAGATTAAATGAGGATATCAGGCTATTTTGACACGTTATTTACCCATTTATTTTTTGTCTTTTTTTATAGATTGTTAAAATAAAGGACAAGGCAATCGAAACAAAGATTCATGAAACTTTTCGTCTTCAATATCTCAAAGATGTAGTGTTTGCACGCGTATTTGATGATCCAACAAGTTCCATACTTTCTTCACTCATTTTCTTTAATCATGTTGATATTTGTAAACATATTTCACAAGATGATGAATTTTTGGAAGAACTCTTCAATATCCTTAATGAGGAAAATGGATCGCCAAAACGTAAACGTGATGTTATTATGTTTGTTCAACAACTCTGTTTTATCGCCAAAAGTATTCATGTGTCACATAAAAAAGAACTATACAGGTTGGTACAACCCTATTTTTTTTTTTTTTTTTTTTATTTTTTTAAATTTTTTTTTTTTTTTTTTTTTTTTTTTTTTTTTTTTTTTTTTTTTTTT